TTTATCAATTTTTCAGATTATTGTTTATTATACATTTATATAATAATATTAAAGTTAAATATATTTTTTGTAATGGGAACTTCGAAGCGATACGATGCGTTAAAATGTTTGAAGACCGAATACAAATTTGTTATTTCTCCTTCATCATTTCATTATTTTCTTACACTATCATTTCTTCGTAAAATGAAATGGAATACTAAGTGCAAATTAACATTCATTTAGCAAACTTCTAAAACGTACGAATACACTTTCAAAAAATTCATTCGAAGTTAGAAAGTCAAACACCTTCAATTACTAGAAATTTAAAATAAAACTTCACAAATTTTTACTGTATACCTTAAATAAACTACCATGTAAAATAATTTATAAAACGATCGTAATACCTCTAATATTAAACCTACACTTATACATTAAATAGTACTATTAAACAGTACTATTAAAATTAAATAGTAGTACTGAATAGTACCGTTAAAATTAAATGGTAGTACTAAATAGTACTATTAAAATTAAATACTAGCATTAAATAGCATTATTAAAATTAAATAGTACTAAATAGTACTATTAAAATGAATGAATATTATTAAACAATAGTATTTGAGTATAACAAAATACAATAAAACCATACATATTAAACACAAATACCCAATGTTCCATAAACCTAGAATCTCGTAAACCGCAGCCCTGACACCGCAGTAGCAAAAATATCAAAGAAATTCTCTCTGTAACGGCGAGGAGGATCATTTATCTTCCGCAGGACGCTTATCGACCATCGGATTCTTGGAGGAAATCTTCCCTCGCAGCGGTTTCTTCCGTGAGAATTGCAACGCTGCCTCGTGGCCGCGACGTCGTGGCCAAGAAATAACTTCATCGAGTAACGCTGACGGCCCCTGGACGGGCAAGAAACGCGCTGACCGTAATACGCGACACCTGGGGCGGCATTGGAGAACGCGGCCTTGGCGAGGCGTCCGTCGTCGTCAAGAACGAGGCTCGAGGATATCATCTTTGTCCGATGCGCTGGTGTGTGACGGTCGAGGACGAAGATAACCCTCGTCCGCGGAGATTAAAAGAGCGCAAAGCTAAGATTAGGCCTGAAACCGCGACCACCGGGTCTAGGTTAAGTCTGACTCCCGGCTCCTTTCTGGCCCGCCGTTTCGTAATCGATGTGGTCGCCATTGTGTGTACTAACCGGTCGAGTGGTAATTAACGCGTTATACGTTGTAAACTACGGATCTGGTCGAAGTAAATGAAATGTAAAGTGAAATTGAATGCTCTTTGAATGCTCTGTTTAGCTGTAAATATTATATTTAATTGTTTTTTGCATTATTTATTTATTGTTTATTTGGAAATGTGGTTTCATCGTTGCTGTTGCTATTTATCTTCTTTTATTATAATATATAGTAAATTATGATATGTACCATATATAAATTATAGATATGTAATATTTATAATTATATATTCTTTGTTAATGTTTTGTGGCGAATTATATAAGTTATAGTAATTGATAATTACACTGGTAATTCGTTTATATTTCTAGACTTCCAATATGAGACAGATTTTTTAAATTACAAAAAGAGTAACACCTGTTCTCGACCACAAGCAGAGTTTCTAGATTAGTAGTGTAGTTAGATTATAAAATATGGAGTGCCGGATTCTTCAGAGAATTCGAAGGAACGTTTTGTTTTGATGTTCTTGAAGTAGTTCTTCGTGTACTTGCAACACATTCGAAGTTTCCTTGTGGGGATAACAAAGTTCGTGTGAGATCAGCTTCCTGGGGATTCATTGAAAAGGATAAAAGGTTTTTCGAGGAGTTTGGTCTTTAAATCCTTCTGTCCGGAATGAAATCTTTGGAACAACTTATCTAGAGTTCACAATAAATATATAAAATTCATATTACTATCTAAATCACAATGAAACTGCTAGCAATAGAATTACAAATTAATACCTCTTTCTATCCAATACAATACGCTATACTATACTTGAAATTTCCACAATTCTACTACTTCAGCAATCAATTTAATACACAAGCAAATAATTAAACATTCGAAACAACATATCAAACTTCCAAAATTCCATCTCACACAATCCACCATCAAACACATCTTACATCTCACTTCACACCTGAATGCACGCTAACCTAACATTCAACACTCCACTCATAATTCTAGTACTTCACCGCTTCAACAATTGTTTACCCAATCAAATCGTATACTATTCAAATCATCAAATCGTATATCATCAAACAACGTCAAATTTAATCCATCACCTCTTTGCACACTTCCACATAAAATAACCTAGCACTGAATACTATACGCAAAATGTTACTACTCCGCTGCTCCAACAATGATTCCACCCAATACCTGACCAAACAGAACACCGTCGATCATCAAAGAACGCATCAAATTTCGAGCATTCCTCGCGCGATCTAACATCAAACGCATCTTTCCTTCAGAAGAAAGTCGGTCCTTTGAGGCATCGATCATCCGAAAGTTTCGTGCACGAGCGACGGTCACAAGGCAAAGGGAAAAAGCCGGAGTGCGGCTGGCGGGGGTGGTGAAAAGGTGTCGCGACGGAAGGCCAACAGACAAAACCCAGAAGAACAAAGGGGAAGAGACAGGCCTAGCGCGAAGTAATCAAACGCGAATCCCTAGTTCCGGCCGGCGGCGCTGTCGTTTTCATCGGGGAATAAAAGTGCAGTTGCCCGGCGGGGGCGGGGGAGGATGGTAGTTTTTCATCGGCCGCCCGGGCAGAATCGCGTTGCGCGGGCCGCTAGCACGCCCTCGCCGTCGGAATAATTGACCCAAATGTACCGCAAAAATAGCGGATCATAAATTACACGGGGGCGGGGCGGGGAGTGTGCACTTGACACGGCCCTGTCGCGGCACGGTCAACGGAGCTGGAGAGGCAGACGACGGCGGCAGAAAAAGAGGGTTCCCATTCAAGGTTACTCATTCTTCCGGCACGTCCTCGTTTCGAGTGGCGACAATCGGGAAAACGGCGGAGGCGCTTCAAAGGGCCGATGCGTGCGCGGCCGGCGCCGCGAGTTAGCAATCAGCGCTGAATCCCCGGTGCTGATTGCGTTTCGGGCAAATATTTAGTTTGCTGATAGGGAATTCATTATTTTTTCTACGAGGGATTCGTGCTTGGGGGGTTCGTGGTTTTGTTTTCACTTGTTTCCCTTGGGAATTGGATTTTGATGTTTGCCATTTTTTGTGCGAGCGTTATTAGGGACTTGAATGGGACTATGACATTGTGAGAATGAATAGGGGAACGATTGTTTAGGGATTTGTAGCTGTTGTGCGAACGAGAAGTTTCCTTGTTTTCCGGTGTATCGAGTATTTGTGTTTGAGGATATTGCGTTTGTATTGGTTTAACGGTAGTGTGTTGCGACCTCCATCGTTTGTTGCCGTTTTGGATAAGGGCGGGGAAAAATCGTGAATTTAAATCAGGATATGTAATTTGTAGAATTAAGTGATCAGTTAATTGATTTTGGGTATTAGCTGAACTAATGAGTAATTCATTAATTTTATGAAGTGGTACGTACACGATAATAAAAACGGTAATAATAGTAATGTGATAATCTTGCTGTTCGTTTCTAAAACGTTGAACAACGGAGTTCGTACTATCGTACGTTGTTAAGACTTCACTACGTCTATGCAGAGAATTGTTAATCGAAATCGTGATAGAGGAAGTCTGTTTGAAAAGAAAGGAACTTGGAGCAAATAAATCTGCTGGAACGGTGCAGCGCTATGCAGACCGAATAAATTGAATAGTCCGAATGATTGTAATGGATTGAGTAGATTAAGCGGATAGTACAAACAAATCGAATAAAGTGGGTCGTCTAGTGTGCTTGATATCCCTCTCGTGTCGAATACCTCAATGGAGACGATAAGAAATTCGTATCACGTTTAAACAACGTACAATGGCTCTAATGGAAATTATTGTTTGTCCCGCAGATACAATAGCATGTATTTCACGACAACTTTGTCATCTTCGAGCCGAATCACTTGCATCCCGCTTGCAATACATAAATTATAATACATTTAGATTCAAATATGCAGCAGAATAGAAATCTTCCAAAGAAAAATATTCGAATATTCCTAAAATATGGGAAACAATTACAGTGTAATAAAATACAGACATTTCAATCACAATTACATATATACAAACAATTACAACAACGTGCCGCACATATATCACCACGTATTTACTATTCACAATCTTCGAAACACATATTTTTCAACGCAAACTTCAAAATACCAATACTAAAAAAAACAGATATTTTCACGAAATCAGCAGATTGAAATATTTTAACTAAATTTTATTTCCAACTTTCAATATTATAAATTTCTATAAAACTCAACGTACGCTCGAATCTTTCGAAAAAAACGATGCCAGAATATTCTCCGATTTTTTAAACAATACAAACCACTTCTTCAATGATATCACGCCACCGATAAAGACGAACATTAAACGAAAATCTCAAAGAAGCAATTCTTTCTGAGCCCCCTCCCTCCACGATCTAACAATCACCTCGGTGTTTCCAGGTCACCAGCACCTCGCCCCATCGAAACATGTAGACTGCTCCGCGGTCGAGCGGTCGCAGCCGAGTCGTCGCGTCGGGTTCGGAGATCGTCGCCTGAACCGTCAGAGCCGGGACTCGCGGGTCGGCCGGATCCCCGATCTTTCTCTCGGCGCAGCTGGAGCCGATTACGCTGGCAAGCGTCCCGGCGTCGAGTAGACAGGTCGCCGAGTGGCAACGCCCTTACCCAGCAAGGATGAAGGCCAACCTGGTACGTCGGCTCGTCGGCACGTCCGTGACCTAAGGGGCTTGGCCCGGGTCGAGTCTCTTCCGGCCGAAGAGGAGGACACCAAGGCCAAGGGAACCAAGGCACGCGCTCGCGCGAGGGAACACGAGAAGAGGAAAAAGAGCGGGTAACCGGGGAAAGCCGAGCATGACGACGATCGCAACTACCTCCGAGCCAACGGAGGTGTCCTCGGTGGACGTGACGAGCCTGCTGAACGCCATCTCGACCGAGGACAGTCAGTTCGCGAACGGCACCTACCCGGCCGATCAGAAGTGGTCGGTGCCCGCTACGGTAGCTAAAGGCTGCCTGCTAGGCTCCATCATCCTGACAGCCGTGTTCGGCAACCTGCTGGTGATGGTGTCGGTGATGAGGCACAGGAAGTTGCGTATCATCACCAACTACTTCGTGGTGTCCCTGGCGTTAGCGGATATGCTAGTCGCCATGTTCGCGATGACGTTCAACGCCAGCGTGCAGATGACCGGCCGGTGGTTATTCGGCTACTTCATGTGCGACGTGTGGAACTCGCTGGACGTGTACTTCAGCACTAGTTCGATACTCCACCTGATGTGCATCTCGGTGGACCGGTACTGGGCCATCGTCAAGCCGCTCAAGTACCCGATCATCATGACTAAAAGGCTAGCCGCGTACATGCTGCTGGCTTGCTGGATCATGCCCGCGTTCATCTCGTTCGTGCCGATCTTCATGGGCTGGTACACCACCGTCGAGAACAGTATGCACAGGCGCAAGCACCCCGAGCTATGCGAGTTCAAGGTGAACAAGATCTACGTGATATTCTCGTCGAGCATCTCGTTCTGGATACCCTGCACCATCATGACGCTCACGTACTTCGCGGTATTCAAGGAGGCGAACCGGCAGGAGAAGCAGATGCACAGCCGAATGGGCAACGTGATGCTGCTGAGCCACAGGCCCAGCAAGGACCTGAACAATCTGAACGGCGAACTGAACAGTGCCGGATCCTCGAAGACGCTCACGCTGAACGAGATCAGCACCGATCATTTGCACACGCCGACCAAAGACAAGAATATCATGAAGATGAAGAGGGAGCACAAAGCTGCGAGGACGTTAGGCATCATCATGGGGACCTTCATATTGTGCTGGTTGCCATTCTTCCTGTGGTGCGTCAACGAACGTTTTTCAGTTCCTTTTTTTTTATACCAGTTGATTATGACGTTTCATTGCGTCGGTTGGATAGTGGAACTTCTCGGGTTTCTACGGAGTGTCGAGCTTCGCGCGTGATCTTCCTCGAATCGTTGATTTTTCGCAGTTTGTTTAATGTCACGTGAAAATTGAGAAGGATCGCGACGCGAGCCGCGTGTGCGTCTCGCTTGCATAATGGTTCCAATTGTTCTCGTTAGTCTAAAACGCGATTAAGTAAATACGTCGGTTGGGACGGCTAGCTGTGTGGATTAACGGTCAGCCTTGTTTTGTGACGGCAAGAGAACAATTTAAAGGAGTTTCTGGTTTCTTAATTTATCACTGTTATTATCTCATTATATATATATATATATTGAAATTCTCAAAGGTAGTTTGTGGTCCGCAGAATGATGGATTTGTATAATTCCAGACTAGGGTGCACCCTAAGAAAAATTTCTATCATTTCTTGATAGTTTCATATCATTCTAACATCGTACCCAGAACATTCTAATATTATAGCCTTATATACTTCGAATCTGAACGTTAGAACAATCTAATTCACATTCACTTATCTACTTACTCGGCTACACCGTTCGATAAAGAATATTATCAGACAGAAAGCTATAAAAGAAAAACAATAAAAATTACAAAAGAGAAAGTAACAGAATAAAAGTACTCAAGTTATGATTAAAATCTTCATCGGAAGAGCAAGTCGTCGTTACACGAAACATAGATTGAACAACTAGTTCTGTTTCTCCTAGATTACCCAAGAACACGAATCGTGAAACTTTCCTTCCTCGGAAGGGAGTAATTGAGCGAAGTTTGTCTTCAGGTACGTCATAACGACCCTGTGCGGCGAATCCTGCCCGTGTCCCGACGTTGTGATCGCGCTCCTCTTCTGGATCGGGTACACGAACTCGGCGCTGAACCCGCTGATCTACGCGTACTTCAACCGCGACTTCCGAGAAGCCTTCAAGAACACGCTGCAGTGCGCTTTCTGCTCGCTCTGCAGACGAGAGCCGTCCGACCTCGAGGCGCTCGATTTCCGTCGGCCGTCCCTAAGGTACGATCTGGTCTGACACATTGAGGTACGCACTACATTCTATCGCTTTTTTTCGTGACCCCTTCTTTCGCCAGCACTCCGCGCCCACGACACCTCGACACTCGTGCTTCGATCAAGTCAAGTCTTCCTGGAACATTATGGAAATCCGGTGAACCGAGTTTTCTACAGAGTTCTCTTGAAATTCGAAACGTGAAACAATGGAAAGTGTATCTTGTATAAAGGCTTGTTGCACTGGAAATGCTTCGGAAGACTTGATATTATTCTATATTCTTCCGTTAATGAATTGCAAAGTCCACTGTCGATTCGATTGCTTTTCATGTTGAGATAGTTAACGAATGTCGGATTTGTAATGTAAGGTGTATTCAGCAAGACATTGATTTTTAAGTGTCATTGAAAGGATAGGAAATAATATTGAAATTGGATGAGGCAATGTACAGTAATTGAAGATACGTCTTCGTTGTTGATCATGAAAGTGACTAAACTTAAATGACAGTGTCTCACTTTTGTAGACATTTCAGAATTACTTCAATTTAGGTAAATAGTGTAATACGATTTATTGAATTTCTTACAAGCAATTTCTTAAAAGCTCCAACGTGAAATTTTCTAATATCAAATATTATAAATTTGTATAACGTTCTTAATTCTCATCGTGTTTTCTATTTATATTTCGACAAATTTCTCTAACATAAAATTCGTTACTGTTCCCGAAGCCGTAATAAAATATTGAACGCGAGCTATAACTTCGCGTCGGTCAGCGCGTGCAACGTGGAAAGTTGTTTCAGAAAATGACTGCCGTTTCCACACATGATTTAATTAATGTGTCCCGATGTACGAGTCGCCTTCCGTTTGATAACACACGCGGCGCTCGCGTGCGACTTTACTCCTCACTGTAGAATTACATGTTACACGCTCCGCGGAATGCATAAAGCTCGGCCAGCAACACGCGCCGATGGCAGAAACGGCGAATTGCGAGCGAACAAAAGTTGTAGAATATAATCAGAACGCACGGAGTAGTTGGAGCGTGACGTCGCGTTTCATATTGCCCCACTGTCAGACTTTTTTATTTCGAAATCGGTTAACGTTAACAGCTTGTTTTCGAGCAACGCTTCAACGAAACGTTGCATACATCTTGCAATGTGCTACCGTCGGAGAAAAATTGAAGCGGAGAACGAGGAACGTGACTTATTTTCCGTTTTCGCAGAGTTGTTTCGTGTGATTTCTTCGAACATTGATTTCACGGAATTATTATCCTATTTTGTACTTAACCTTTAAGCTTTCGACACCTTCAGATTGTAATTACTGGAAAATCATTTTGGAGCTTCGATTTCTGAGCAACAGATTATCTAAAATACACTGCGAATTAAATATAAGTGAATATTTTCCCACCTTTTATTAATACTTTTATTTCTTACCATTTTCGTAAATAACAAATATTGGCTAATATTGAAAAACATCTCATATCTTTGAAATGACAATATTTTCCACCATCACTGGTTACACAACTTCTTCTAAATACGTTGCCCTTTTCAAACATAACCAAAATTAAATATTAATGTTAAGGAAAACATTATTATGACCTTCAAGTAACCTTAAGAAGCATTCCTCCATTATTCCCAAACCTGTCAATTCTTATCGATATGATTTCCTTAGTTTCAGAAATAATAAAAATTAAATATTAACATTAAGGAAAACATTACGATGATCAAACGCGTGGATTCTTATCAGCGTTGATTTCCTTATATTCAAAAATACTAAAAAATAAGTATAAGTAAAAATGAGTAATAACATTTTTATTTTTTACCTTTAATCGTATCCCCAGAAAAATCGAATGATCCAGAATATTTTCAAACGGGACGCAGTCGAAATATTTCCCCGAGCAATCCGGACGCAGTATCTCTGGAACATCCGTTAGAAACTTCGGTTTCCGAGCGTGTATCCGTCGGGTTGGTTGGAATCGCCGTAAAGCCGAGTGATTAGAAGCGTCGTCGCGGGGACATTACTTTTAATTCCGCGGGCGGGAAGTGGGTCGAGCCGAGGAACCGGGCGCCCAACTTTTTCACGCAAATGCGAACGTAACTCAGGGAACGTGTGCGCCCCGCGCTTCTCCCATTTAAAGTGGTTCTCTCGAGAACCCGGGGCGAGGAAAAAACCGGGATTTATAAGACCGAAAAGAGTTTCCCCTCTTTTCTTCGCTTGGCTCGGTTTTAAAAGCTCGATCGCGAAACTTCTCGGCCAGCCATGAAATTCTAATGATTCCCGGGGACTAAGGCGCGATACAATGTCGCGCGGCGGGAGAAACCCTTCCGGCTTCGCGGGAATCTGTATGCAAGTTACGGCCGCTTTCGTTTCGAAACTGATTTTCCACCGAGCTCGGTTCGTCATTGCCACCCACGACTTCAGAACTTCGATTATTAGAGACACGTCGGGGGCTTTTCTTTCACGAGACTTTGTGTCGCGAATTTCATCAGCCGGCCCTCTCTCGCTTCACTTTGAAACTAGGAAGATTGAACTGGCCGCGGAGGAGTCTCCGGTGTCTGGATTAATCTGGAGATGATAGTGCTCGGGCAAAGGAATTTTTGAATAATGGAGCAATCAGCTTTCGCGTTACGAGCATTCGGCTGATTGGTATTTGAACTGGTGTGTTTGGGAATGCAGTTAGGTTGATTTTGTTGGTCTTGGAGGTGAATTTGGTGTAGGCAACTATATTCGAGTGAAACGTTTTGGGAATGAAATAAAAAGCTTCAGGAGTTTTAGTAATTTATGTTTAGACTTTGGTTTTTTATTCGGTTACAATTTCTGAATGGTGATAAACTCTTTTTTCTGCGTTGTTTTTGTATTTCTCTCTGATGGATTGACTGTTCTTCAGTATTTTATTGGTTTTGGAAAGACCATGCATTTAAGGGATACATAAAGGTGATGTAAAATGTATATCCTCTTTCTCTTGAAAAGATTCTCATCTTTGGCCGTAAAGCAGCGATGAAAATAAATTGCGCGGAAGCGTCGAGAATAAATTGCAACACAAACATATTTCTTAAGGAGTTTATATAGGTATGCTCAACGAATTACATTTTACAGTAGAGTCACGTGTCGTAATCTTGCTTAGAAAGCTTCTATTTCTAATACAAATTCCGTTTCAATGTTTACGAAAACTGACGAAATTTCGAAACATATTTCTTGACTAAATGAAAATGTTATATCGGATGTTACGTAGTTATATGGGAAATCTTTCACTTTATTACTAATTTATATCTATAACAATTTATACCCATAGTAAATCACATCAATCGTTTAACAGTTTATCGAATACGTAATCAAATTTAACACACAGTTAACCATGTGGCAAAATTTAATCGTTAGACTGCAGATTTTGAGCAGATATAAATTTTAATGAACTAAATACGAGGAACTGAAAATTAAATCGCAATTGATTCATCCTATCAATGATCTCTAATGAAATGAAGTGAAAAGTGTAAATATGAAATCCGCAGTGCAATCATCGTCGTCCAATAGTATTGAAAAATCAAATTTATACTCTCTCGAAATTAATGTTTAAATATTTCATGATCAACTCAACTGTAGATTGTTCCTTAATATCTTTAATAATCTCAATAAATTTAAAAATACGCTCAAATAATTCATTAAAAAATGCAGAATTTCTATAAAGAATGAAATTAATAATCTCTCACAATTAATGTCCAACCATTTCATGATCAACTTGATTGTAGGTCATTTCTCAATATTTTCAGTAATCCAAATGCACTTAAAAATACGTACAAATAATTCATTAAAAAATACAAAACCCCTCTAGAAAACGAAATTAACCATTTTTCTAAATGAATGTCCAAACATTTCACGATCGACTGGACTGTAGACTATTTCTCAATATTTTTAATCATCCGAATCCAATGAAAAATCGTTGAAAATAATTCGTTAGAAAAACTTAGGCAATCTTCTAAGTCGCGTTTCAACAAAAATTGTCCATGAAACCATATAGAACCACAAACTTTCGAGCCCAAACCACACTTTTGTCAAGCGAAAATGAGCAAGCCTTTATTGTCGCTGGTTTTCCTTTCTGCTTCCAGGTACGACGACCGGACTAAGAGTATATACTCGGAGACGTATGTCAAGCACATCGACCGACGAAGATCGAGCGAGTTCGGTAGCAGTCTCTGAGATGAGACTGGGCAGCGACTTTATACGTTAAACTGCATTCGCAATAAGATACGCGTACCACGTACATACACGCCCACCAATACATCCGTAACCGTCATCCACCAACACACACATGCCACATACATACGGTTGAACGAGTGTCGAGCGAACACGTGAACAGTTCTCGCGCAGTTCGCGATCAGAGATTCTCCGCGTCACGTTGCCAAAAAAACGAACAGGAAAAAAAGAAAGGAAGAAGAGGACGAAAAATGGTGTTTCGAAAAGCCAATGAAAAAAAAGAAAAAAGCGAAAGAGAAATCGCGAAACACGAATCTCAATGAGGCACTCGCGTTCTCGACAATTTCGAAACGGCGCCGCGTATTTCCGGTTTAGAGGATCGCGAGGCTGGCCACTCGAGCGACGGGACGAATGCCGTGTAAAGCCTCGTTCACGCTTGGACACGTTCCCGCCGAAATATCGAGACGATAGGTTTTCTGGGGACCATTGGAAACAACATCGTCCTATGTCCCGTCGATTTCGAGATTTCGAGTGGCGATTCGGCTTAATCCCGCGCGGTGGCCGTTGAAAATGGAATATTTCTCTTCTTAGTGACTATAGGGGATGTTTTGAAATCTGCGATAGAAAATTCTTTGAAAGGAGGAATTACAAATTGGTAAAAATGATTATTTATAAAATGGCAAATTATAGTTTTGTATTACGTGAAAGATAAAGATTAATTTATTCAATCTGTAGATCCGATTTTGTTAATGTCCATAAGACTGCTACAGACTATCAATGCTTCAAATAAATTTATTTAACGATCATTTCAATCGATTTCATTCTACAAACATTTCCAAATAACCATAGTCCACAGTCCACTGCAATGAACTAACGGAATGCAGTTTACACCAGCATCTAAACGGCCAAGCATCAAAGTCACAGACAAGAATATCAAACAATGCGGTTTATAAATAACGAGCGGGAACGTATACATAGAAACCGCGCGAACAAAAATAAGGTTTAAGAAACCGGAAGTACACGGGGCCAGGGAACACAGGAACATTGCCAAACGATCGCGGAGTGGCGCGCACGCCGAACAGGTTACCAAACGTACACGCATGCAACGCATGGATCGCGTCACTATTGCCAAAGAATAATATTATTAAGCGAAGATGCTTTTCGTGACGAGGATCGGGGGATCGATCGATCGGCGAGCAGTGTCGGCAAGGAATCGGTCTCGTTCTGCAACCCGTTTAGTGGAAAGCCGCAATGCCGGCCGCTGGGCCGACAGTGGTTCTCAACCGGCCGCTCCGACGTCTAAAGTCGGTGTCCTCTAAAGATGATGTCCGATTGGGCAGCCACGTTCAATTAGCTCTCGCATACCCAACCATTCGATCGGTCATCATTTTCTTCAGCTTCCTTGCTCCGTTTCAACGCAAACAAACCGGGAATGTCAGGCATCGCTGCGTCGATCGTACAAACGGTCGCGTTTGATTGGCAGCTCTCGAGGGGGCATCGCTGAAGTGGCGGGCTCTCTGAGTCATCGCGGGCAATAAATAAACAGTGGAAGACAGCGAGCCTCGGGGATCTGGTATATATCTGTTATTAACTTCACGGTGAACCCCTTATACGCTGCGAGCCGTTTTGATAGAAATCAGCGAACGCGGATTCTACGCGGATGATGGACGTTTTTTGGGAAACGGCCTGATGGAGTCACGTTCACACGTAGACGTTCCTTTACCGTTTGTTGGTCACCTGACAGCTCGGTGGGAGTTTTTTCTAGCGAAATTTGTGAAAATATTGTTGAGAGCATTTCTTTGTTTATACCAATTCGGATTGCGAAAGAATGGAAATGGAATGAGTAGGCTCTGTTTGCATTCGTTTTCATTGAAGGGGTGGGTCATTTGTTGGTAATAGATTTTAGAAGAATGGTTGATTGACTAGCTTGACTTCGCGTTTTGTTTTTATATGATACTGGTATTTATTAATGAAAGTTGTATATAAGTAGTTGAATTTATTGGAAAACACATCTTTATTATTAGCGCGTGACTCCATCGATATTTTTAGGCGGTTTTTATTGTTCAGATGTTGAGTCTGGTGCACATTGAGTAACTGCGTTCACTCTGGTAAGATTTTAATGGAATAAAGCTGAGATTAAAGTTATAGAAACGCGAGTGTTAAATTGTTGAAAATATCTCAAGAGAATAATATACCCAAAAGTGAAGGAAAATTGTATATTTCCGAAGCACGCCTATGAAAACATTTACAACCAAATTTCCCTGATGAATAAGTGTTCAGATATCAACCAGAAAAATAAAAAATCGATGGACTCTGTTTTTTGTCTGGTGTTTACTAGGAAAATTTCATTGATGCAGGAAAAATATTTTCGTAAACGTTGTTCGGGCACCTGGGAATTTCCATTTTTCAACGTAGGTTTCCTTATACTCCATTATTTTTTACGGCTAGTCATTAATTCTGAATAAACAAACTACAGAATATTGCTTCTTAAATGTTGAGAACAGGAGTGTAAGCAATTCTTTTATTAGATAATAGATCTCCAAGCAGTTTCAAGAACTAATGAAAATTCAATCGGTTGAAGGGTTCTTGAACGTCGCGAATTATGCGCGCTATTATCGTACACGTTTCGAGTCAGTGTGTTTCAAGCTATTGTTCACTGTGTACCGAGCTTAATGTACCATCATTTATTTAATCAAATCTTTTAATAAAACAGAAACTTCGAAATCAATATTTTTCATAGCGATTGCTCTTATCATACGTTTTCGCGTGTCATTAAACAGTATCGTTCAACAAGATTTGGCTCGTTCGATATTCCGAGAAAATTAATTAATTCTTTAGTTCATAGAAAACATTGTGTCAGAAATATTTGAGTGACATGACAGTCGAAACGTTGAATGCACTGTTCTGATTCCCACGATTAGAATCCGCGATTCGTACACGCTGTTTCGTGAATCGTTGTTAATGGTATTTAATTGATGTTGTTTACCGCCGATGGAAAATACTCTACGCAACGCGATACATGACAATGCAGCCATTTTATTTCCGACGATCTGTTGTCTTATCGTCGAGTTTCCTTGTCCGTGCAGATACACGATACCAAAGAGATTGCGCTCAGGATCGTCACTGTTATTGTTGTTGTTTACATAGTTAATGTTATTTATCGTCAGTTCTTGGAACAGTGACCTGTTGGTTCGAATTATTGATTATTGATACGAAGGATGTGGTTATTATGACTCGTGGTGGTTTTTAATTGGTCTTTTTTCTTGTTTTTGTAGGTGTTGGGAGGTTTCTTAATGGAAATATGTGAAGTCAGTTGCAAAAGTCTTACATACACTGGCTGATTATAATGAAACAAATGTTTGGAATGTTTCTTGGATATCAGTTCATTTATTAATTAAAATTACATAGATTACAAAAGAAATTACGACACTTCTTTCATTTTCTTCTATGAGATAAATATATTGCAACACAAAATTGTAAAATCACGGCAAAGGTAAAAATCATTATTTTTTCTGAATGTGTTTTATTTTAATTAAATAAAGGAGTCAATATTTATAAAGTGTCAGAAATTTTTTTGTTGCATGTGTTTTAGCAGGTATATCTATTCACAATTTTGTAACCGACTGTAACTTTTGTTTCTGAATGTCCGTCCCAATAATAATTATTATATAATAATGTCAAGGTAGAATTGAATTAACGTCTTTCGTTTTCATAAAATGCACTGCATAATAGATTTAATTCTGAAAAAGAAGATACTTAACCTTCTTCAATATAAATGAATTAATACAATTCAAAATAAATAAATCTAATCTAATTTATTGTTATAATTTTCTTACGTATCTTAAGTTCTATATCAATTTGTGTTCCTGAAATAAATATAAACATACATTTCGAAAAATTAACAACAGACACATCGTGTTACACTACAAATAAATTCCCACCACTTGCAATATTATTAATGGACAAAAATTTTAGTCAGAAATCAAATTGTAAATATTTTTCAACAGAGTGTCTGAATAGAATTGACAGAGTGATCTTCAAATCTGAAGAATATTCATTCTGGCTGAACACCCCTATCGTTATTCTAATTTTTGTTTCTTAGTAAATCGGCTCACTACATTATTGCAATCATTACAAGTTATTTAACGGTCATATGCTAACGGTATTAGCAATTCGAAGTTTTCCAATAAACAAACACTCAAGTTTCTTCCATATTTTTCCAAGTGAAACGGATAAAACGAATATACCCTTAACTCCCTAACCTACAAATAACTATCAATCGACGTGAACAACTATCAACGACTATTCTCTGTGTCGATAGAAATCAAAAGCCTGTCACTGAAAAATTCCTGTGTAAACTTTCTTCAAGCTAACTGTACACAGCTGTCGCTGAAACTAGAAAGATCATTTTCAAAGAAATAACACGAGAATGCCAGGAAACCAATGTAATTAAAGTTTCGTCAAAGATCGGTCATACGTCAGGCGGACAGCCCGCTCCGTTGTAATTTATTTATTAAATGTATGCGTACTTTAGTTGTTAATTAACTATAATTCGCTGCGCGAAGGATCTATTGTTCATATTTTATATCTTTAACCGTGTAATCGTCGTTCGTTGAGTTCGTTTTTATCAAGTCTGAGAATTTTATTTATGACACCGTGGTTTTTGTTTTTCTTTTACCCTTGTTTTCTCTTTGTTTCCTTTTTTATAAACATGTATACACACACACACACACACACACACACGCACACGTAAATACATATATCTATATATGCGATTCACCGTTTCTCTGTGATAGAATGTATTAAAAAAAGAAGAAAAAGAAAGAAAAGATTAATTCACGACAATGTAAATAATTTGTATATAATGTCGCCCCTCGTTGCGAGGCGTCCAGCTGCAATAATTGAAAGTTAATACATGCGTTTCTTCCGTAATCGACCTATTAGCTCGTAAAAGATGAACATGATGATGAGAGGATGAGAGAAAGAAAGAGAGAGAGAGAGAGAGAGAGAGAGAGAGAGAGAGAGAGAGAGAGAGAGAGAGAGAGAGAGAGAAAGACAGAAGAAATGTAGTCGGCGTATTAACAATCAAAATGCGTAACGATCGTAGAATAAATAAGCGAGAAATGACAATGCGTGAAACAATGATTCTGTAGCGCGTTTCGATGATTCGGCGCGTGATCCTGCAACACGGTGTTACACCGACGTAACATCTCGTTCCTCTTGCGTACGTTAATTGTTGTCCGAAGCACGAATATTCTTTTTAAATGTACATACCATCGAACTGTGTTTTTATTTCTATCGAAAAGCTCAATCGGGACGAGCGCGTGATGAATATGGAATTTTGCTGAAATTTCATTGGAGTAACGAACATCCTGAAACTAAGGAAAAAAATTCGAATTAACGTTTGTTTCATTATTATTGATTTTTATCAGATTTTTGTGTTCCCTCCGTGTAATTGTTCATCGACGATTTCTTTGTAATTGAATTGTTAGGTGTACCGTGTCAATGAGTTGTTACCGTGTAGATTTTGTGACGTTTTAACAAAAATTTGGGGAATTCTGCACTGTGTTCTGGATTCATACAATTTGCAATACTTTGTCTAGCTTTTTATACTAATTGCAGAGTTATAAGAATGGCTGGTAAAAGGTATAATATTTTTCTAGGGAATTTTAAATTATAAATATCGATATCTCTCATTGTAATTGAATATTCGCGATGAACTATATTTTAAATATAAATTATGTTTCATAATACATTATTTGGTTTATGTTGATATGGTTATATTTTCTATGTTTCATTTTAAAACATGGGGAATCTTATTAATTTTTCGACGAATTTTGTTCTTGGTTTTGGGGTGGAACACGTTCCCAAAAATTTGGCAGTAGTTGTTGCGGTTGTACCTTGTTAATTATTTCAGAGTGAAATGTATGAAATTTCATCTCTCTTCATTAATCAAATTTACAGCATTGAAATAAAATGGAATAAAATAAAATGAAATGAAATGGAATGAAATGAAATGAAATGAAATGAAATGAAATGAAATGAAATGAAATCACATGAAGGACATATAAAAAGGAATGCACAAATACTACAAAGCGCACTGAAGGTGTTTATGCGATATTTTCAGCTCAATCAACTTTATAAGTATTTTGTATTGTTTGTAATAGTTTTAATTGTAAACTTTCAATAATCGTAATGTAATTATTTTTATTGTAAATTGGTCTCCTCTGATCGATCAAAATTCTTCATCGTTCACCCAGGTTTCATTTCCTCCACTTTCTTTTGTACATCGAGCGTACGAATTAAATGCTTTTCAGTTACGTTGCATACTTATGTTTCAGTTCGCAGGAGAGAAAAAAACAAATTATACCGTCACACATTCCGAAGGATTTTCTGTCTCGTTCTCGCTTCGTTTCTTTGTATGAATTTCCAGAAAATAAAATTTTGATTATTATTCAGTAACAACAACCGGTGACCCCACACTTGTTTTCATTAGTAGTTATTCTCTTTTGTTTATAAGCAAAGCACTTAAAAAAGATCAAAACACAGCTTAAGACTCGATTAAAAATTGTTCACCTGTTGATCATTAACTTTGCTATTAAAAATTACATTACAAACGACATACAACAGTAATACCCAGAAAAATATTCTTTATCTTTTGTTAACGTTTATTCAATGGATTCCGTTGTCAGTTTCACTCAGCAATCAAAAGTAGTCGTAATTCCTATAGTTATTACAAATTCAGAATATTTCAGAGCTCGTTCAGCTCTTTAAAGAAAAAATCGAGACGTTTCACTGTCTAAAGGTATTACCGGAAGTGGATGATAAATCAAATGCTTTTTAATCGCGGCACCGTAACGCAGCCACGTGTGCGAGCGGATCGAGCGATCAGATTCACTGGCCAGGATCGTAAATGAACCGATCGCGAGTGTTTTACGAGCTTTTTACGGTCTTCCATTTATGCCGGTCACTGCAGCGAATACTTACTGCCGCGGCAGCCCATTTCTCGCCATCATTGATCCACCTGCGAATGAGAAATTTTCATTCAAACCGCGTCATAAAATATTTTTGAATACCGATGGAGAAATAAATAAAATGCGCATCGTATAGAATAATGTCTCGCCAATACTTTATCAGACACACAGAAATAAATCAAACGCACATTTTTCATTCTCAACAAATGTACAATGACGCAACAGACGAATATTATAAATTTCATTCATTCGCAGGATAGGATAATTCCAGGTGAAATGGCCCGATTTTATTTAGATTACCGGACATCGATAGCTTCAATCGGTTTCAATTGGTATACTGAATCTTTCACAGATGCCTACTTGACACTAGAACTATCGAGCATTTATCGAGGTTTATAATCCTTATAAACATTGTGACGGTACATTTATTTTCGATTTTTTCGGATATTCGTTATATTTTAATGAAACTATTTGTTCTCAAGTCATTTTGAATATTGAATACTTTTAAAATATCAATAACTGCAAAATGGGGAAACTAAAACTCCTCATATTGACGAGTACAGTAATCCCAGCATTAACTATTCTTCGTATATACAATTTACTTTCCTAAATATACTTTATTAGGTATTCATGATATTCGTGATGTAGTAGTTGTTTCAACAAAATTGGGCTATTTCTCCCCGATTTACTCCAACGATATAACAATAGAATAATTCCAGATGATATAGTTTCGCGGATGAGATGGCCCGATCACATTAAAACTGTGGAATGGCTTTAATTTTTCAAGCGGTACACTGGAAATTGTACAAAGACCTGTTTAACTATCCTTCTTACATAGGTATATTCACTTCCATAAATATATTTCACTTTTACTAGCTGTCAATAATATTCATGAAATTCTTTTATTCATAATGTTCAAAATATTCATTAATTATTTCGAAAAATCTGAGCCATCTCTCTCCAACGCACCCTACACGATAATTTCGACAAAACTTCGATAGTAAATAGATGTTACGATGATATTCGACACGAAAAAACCGCGCACGGATTGCCACGAGCGCCGCGCGCATTTAGATCGAGCATTTTTACCGTGTCGAAACTTGCTGAGCGATACAATCAAAAGTTACGAGTACGTAGGAGCAGTATTATAACCGTAAACCGTGTTTAAACGCGAGCTCGTAGTTCAGTGTTCAGAGAGTTTCCCGCGGAAAGTTTCCGGATGAAGGTGTCGGGAGAATGTCAACGGAACTTTCTTTCTTTCCTATTAATAAGACGATAACTTGAAGATAAGCCCGGGAACGAGACCACTTCAGCAGTACGTCTAACCTGACGCACGCTTTGCCGGCGTTCCCATCTATTTAGATGATATTTTTTTAGCGCAGTTCTTTTACCGAAGTTCCTACTGATGACGCACACGTCGGGAACAAGTTAGTGTTTTCATTGTACATAACGAGATCAGTTCGTACGTGTTTTGATAATCAAAAGGTGGAATCTTTCACGTAGCCCTCTGCATCCTTGTGTAACCTAAAACTGCCAAACTTCGACATGATAATAGATTCTTCCATTAATAGAGTATTTAATATAACAGAGGACAGAGTGAATTATGTTTGTCTGTATTTGAAAATGATGCAAGAATCTGTTACTTTCTGCTCTTCTTCCGTAATCAATATATTTCTTTTAATTGCGTGAAATCTATACGATCCATATTATCTGTCGGAAAAACGAGACCCAGTTTTATTAACGAATAAACATATTATTTTGTTAAGATTTAGTGGAAATTATGTGTGAAGAATATTTAAAGTATTCGAGTTCACATAGACTTCATATTATTCATTCATCTTCTCATATTTTTATGTTGTTACATTAAATTTTTTATTTATGTAACTTTCTTTTTCGTTACTAATTACTTCGTTGATTACAATTATTACGATTATTACATCATTCAGTTTTCTTATGTGTCAAACGATTATCTAAATAGGTAATAATACTAATCATCGTTAATGAAAAGACCTAATCTCGGATTTTCTACATATAATGTACATCTCTCGCTGTAAATATATCAAATATTAGAGAATGATGTAAAAAGATGAAGAAACGTGGATCGAGAACTTCTAACGAACACCAAGTCGCGACTCGATTGCGGTGATCGCGCGCGGTTGGCAATTAACCGGATCGATGAGCGCGACAGGCCCCCAATACGGATAGTTATCTTGGCTAATTAAAGCCATCAGGTTTGATCTAGAGGACGACGCGGCAACAGGCTGGCGCGGGCGAAATTCAAGGCTCGGGAACTGAGTTAAAACCGTGTAAAATACACCTCTGAGAAGCTGACCGACTATCTACGAACTGAAACTGCACGGGGACAACAATCGTTCATTCATTTTGCTTGACTGAGTATTTGTAGCAGTAGTAGCATCTCATTAAGTGACGATGTTACTTTTATTATTGTCTAAATTAAGTGATAAAGACCGCGACAGAAATAAAATGCGACAAAGCAAGATGTAACGATAGATTTGAACATACGTGAGTTGTTGCAAAAGTTTTGGGAATGTACGAGAAAAGTCACAAATAAGTTTGAACTAAAGGTCTGATTGTTTCTCAAAATATTCTGCTTCAACATTAATACATTTTCTATTGTGGCATGTTAATATTTTCTAAACTTACAAAAATAACTTACAACTGAACGGTAGCGGCAGAAATTGCGGATTCCTGAAACGTTTGCACGACCTATACACATACGTATGTAATTACGTTACCGTAAGATTCTACATTCGTGGTTTTCTTATGGTTACGAGATTTTTCGTAATTATCCGAATATCTCGTGGATATGGCAGTCCTACTGACAGTAGAACTTCGTATCGCGTTATAAACATATTACAAAAAATATAGTTTGTTACACAAAATTTGAATAAACTACATATACACCTATTAATTCTTATTTCGTAAAAAGTTGTTCGTATTAATTTTTAGTTCGTGAGAAAATGTTTCGTTTCAATTGACAAATCTGAGTGTCTACATTTCGATGAAATTTTCGACTTAAATTTTATCTGTATTCTAACCTTGATCTATCAAACATATACCACAATATTTATCGTAATAAGTAATTAATGCTCAGATAATCGAGGTTCTACTGTATTAGAAGCAATGTGCAGTTTTAGCTTCTAGGTCGTTGGAAAACTTCTCGGAAGTGTATATTACTTCACACTTCTTTTCCTCGGGAACGTAACCAGTAGATTGCGCGAAATGCGAATTAAATATCTTGATAGAGTGAATTAACGGAGGCGTGAATCAATTTCGTTGTCCACGGCCTTTTCTTGTTCGGGTGTTTTTGTAGCTGTACCAAGAAACCGGATGTATGATTCGCGACGCGAGAACGCGGAGGTTGCAGCGGAGGCGAAGTATCTAGCAAAATGGCGGACAATGCCGAGGTTTTATTTTGTGCCATTTTGTCGAAGTACCTTCCTTTTGATTATTAGAAATAACCTGGCCAAACTGTTATCGAATTGTTCATTTTCTGTATTAGAAGGTATTAATGTGGTAGAAATTAGGGGAAAGATTTATTTTTAGAGGGATATTTCATTGCGAAGTGAAAATAGAGTGTTGGGGCGGCGTATATACGTGTATCGATGAGAGAGGTACAAAACGCTAGCGTGACAATTTACCATGCAAGGTTTGATAGTCGACGATGATAGAAATTGTCCTGTTATTGGAAGTACTTACGAAGATAAGGGAAATTTATGAAAATTAATTGTTCGCGTGATGGAAGTGTTTATATAAAAGGGAATACTACGTTTATTAGTACTGCGAGTGTTAGGAAATGTGAAAGAAGAATTGAAATGAAGGAAACACGTAATTTATATTTGACTTTGCGATAATTTTATGAACATTATATAGACTATTTATGTGATTTAAGAATGTTCACTTGGCAGACATTTGAAGATTTTTATTGAAGAGTTTCTAGTCTTGTGATTGTTTCAATCAATAAAATTTTAAATACCTTTTCATTAAGATTTTCCAGTCAGATTTCATAGGAAATTTTATTATAATCACTTCGGAACGCAAGATATACCTCTCTTGAAAGAGAGCTATGCCGAATCAGAATCGATTCATTTTAATATTTGACACGAAATAATTATAGTGACCTACTTCTGTCATCGGCGAAGATCAAACGAAATATGGAATGTATTTTAATAACGGAAATGGAACTACTTCTAATCCCTTGACTTGAACGATTCTCGATTCTTCCGAACGCTTATCCGGAACCGAATATTATTTACCAACCACACAATAAAATTAACAACAAAATTCTTTCTTTATGAAATTACTTTAGAAAATCACTTATTCAT